ATATGGGGTACCATAGTATCCCCAACCAAATAAGCTACTACTCATGTGCTGGTTTGTAACATTGGCCCGAAACCCTAAATCCTATGAACCCTTATATAAGCCCTGTATAACCCCTAAACCCAAAATCCTAAATACCCCTATATAACCCCTGCTTTACCTCTGTATTGCCAGGTAGGGGGGTCCAATAACCTCTCTTGTGAACTTCTTAAAGATGAGATTGAAAAGCTCCAATTTAACGTCGGAGGTGCAAGGATTAACGAACACTACGCATCATCCCTAGATTCTGAATCTTAGATCCCAACCCTATACCCTAAACCCTAAACCCTAAACCCTATACATCTGGAACTCAGAATCCTAAACCCGAACCGTTAGCCCTTCACCTCAACTCCCAACAGGTTTTCGGGGCCAAAGCGACAGTCAACAGAGAGGGTCTCAAACGTGCAGGGCCCCCAACCCAATAGAATTTACGGTGAGGGTTTTAGGGGGTTTAGGGTTTAGGGTTTTTGGGGTTTTAGGGTTTAGGGCGTAGGGTTTAGGGTTTAGCTGGGGCTTCGGGTCCTGAATGCTTCGAATGGGTGTTGGAGGTGTGGCAGAGAGATTACTTTCTCACTCTGTCAGGATTCCATCACGTCTTTCCCTACCAGCCCCCTATACTCGGCCCCGAAGGTTCCCCTTTGAGCCGGCTTGCTTAAACACATTTATGGCAAACTAAAACTAATTCACCTGGAACCTTGCGAAACATGCGAGTTGTAGTGAAACCCATGGTTCTATGTTAATCCGCAAGGCTCGAACTTTCAACCTGAGCATAGCAACCGAATGAATGAGGCATGAGGTTCAAGTCAGAACAAGATTCGCATCAAGGAGCCAAACTCGAATTTAACCTCTTTTAGTACACTCCACACCACGAGAGGATACCATTCTGGGTTGCTGTTAAGGAAAACAAACTAAGTTACTATAATAATGAAACCCTATTACTTACTATTTACCCACACTATGGCAGTTAATTTCAGCTTGTAAGCGCCTTAACAGCAGCCCGATATGGCAGTTTCCCAATCTAGGGGGAACCCCCAATTACTAGAATCCTTATCATTGGGACTCCCAAAAAGGTATCCCAAATTTTGGGGAAACCTCATATTTGGCCTAGGTACAAGGCTAATGTGCCGGTACTTTCCTCGTCCTCCGCCGAGTAGTGGTGAATCAGCCAGATCAAGTCTGGTCAGGAGCTTCAGTACTTAAGGGTTTTAGGGTTTAGGGACAGATTGTTGGGGTTTAGAGTTTAGGAAAAGATTGGGGGCCTACAACTTACTGGTTCTTACTGGAACATGTAGTACATGGGGATGATTTAGTGATTGTATTCCCTCATTCCCTATCGAGCCAGTAAGTTATTTCAGATGATCTCCATTGTGACTTTTCATTTCTGAGCGACCCTAAACCCCAAGTCCGGCCCCAAGTCCTAAACCCTATGGTTATGGGCTGCTATTGTTACCATGTTTACTTGTCATCCCTTCCCTTACTATTAAATCAACCCCCCAATCCAGCCATATCAAATAAGTGCCCCGTTGTACGGCTAAGGTGTCTGAACGAGTGGGGCTGAGTGGGATATGGTTTTACAGGGCTTTTTGAAGAGATTTTGCAGCACGTCCAGAATAGATGCATATAGAGGGCACACAGGGTTGAAAGATAGTCCTGGTTTAGGGTTTGGGGTTTAAGGAGAAAATTTTGCACCACCTTCTATATGTATATCCTATACTACAGGAGTTGCGGTATTTGGAACTACACTAAGCCCCAAACCATTTTGGTTGGTAGATTTGGGGGATTACCTACACCCTAGACCCTAAACCATTTTGAGGGGTTCCGCAAACTAAGGTAACCTCCATCCACCCTAAACCCTGAACCCTCAACCCTAAACCCTAGGTTCCCGAGGCTCCTCCCATTTTTGACATGAACAAGCCTGCTAGGAGCTTCATGTTCTCCTCGACGCCTAACCTGAGCTGAGCAGGAGAGAACAGGAGCGCATGTTTAGGGCTCGGGCTCAGGGTTGAGGAAGTAAGTGGGGGTTTACTTACTGGGGGCTTGTAGGGAGTAAGGGAATGTAGCATATAGGGTTCACATGAAGAAGGATTATACAACCTTATTCCCTTCTGCAACTGAATCTCTAAATCATCTCACTCTAGAGGCGTGACCCAATAAACTGCAATTTACTGGTGCTGAGTAGGGAATACGGGGAAGTACTCCCTATACGTAATATAGTCCCATATTCCCTACTAAGCCACCAGTAAGAGAATCTACGAGTCGCTGGCCTCAAGCCTTCAAGGGTTCGATATCTGGGGATGTGAAACGGCTCGGTTGTGTTATGATAGTGTACGATATGGTACTGACTCGCGATTTAGGAACATAGGTGTACGTAAAACCCACTCTTGACTCAGAACCCTGAGCCTCAAGGGGGTTTAGGGTCTAAGTTTTACCCTGCACTGGGTTGCTGCTATTACTATAATACTAAGATACCCATATTCTGGTAATCTAAATGGTAGTTTCCCAAAATAGGGGGACCCCAATATAGACCCCAAAATACTATAGTCCTTATTATTGGGACCCCCAAAAAGGTACCCCTAATTTTGGGAAACCATCAAATTGAGTTCCTCAACAGCAACCCAGAAAACCCCCCTGAGGAGTCCGCGCGCTGCCCTTCACCTTGCCGCCCTCGTACTCGTCAGGGGAGAAGACGCAACGAAGGCGCAGATGGTAGCCGAAGTGCCAATCCTGCGCAGGCAGCTAGCAACATGGAACTTTGCTTACATGACAGTTCCCCAGCTAGAGGAACCTTTTCTATTGAGACCTGCAGTACAAATTTAATAGCTTCTTAGAACTGATAAAGCCTCAAGAAGCCAAAATGAAGAAGGAATCAGGGCCACTGAGCCACTGGCTCCAGACCACTTGGTTGCTCTGTTGCTTCATCTGCTTCCCCAAGTTCTAAACCCTAAATCCCAAACCCTAAATCCTTAACTCCAAACCCCAACCTTTAGTTAGAACCCTGAGCACCCCCTAAACCCTAAACCCTGCACCCTAAACCCAACCTAAACGCTGAAACCTGAACCCTAAACCCGAAACCCACCCCCCCCTCCTCAGGATTTTTTGTCAATGCGAAGCAGTCCAGGGAGGTCCCCTGATAAGGCCGTGAGCAGGTCGAGTTGAGATACCTCGGATTGAGGCTCTCGGGTTTGAGGGTTTAGGGGTTAGGGCTGGGGGTTTTGGATTCTGGGTGTTGGGGCTTAGGGCTTCAGGTTTTGGATTTGGGGTAAGGCTTCGGGTTTAGGATGTTGGGCTTTTTGGATTCGTGGATCAGGGTTAAGGCGAAACTGGACCGTTCTTGGTCCGGGGAGAGGCGAATTGGATGCAAAAGTGCACTATAGTGGATAGTAAAAAACCTGCATGACCCCAACTACCTTATGTCTTGGGAATCATGGTCTCATTCTACATTAAGGTCATGCAGGGTTTTTAATCTCAGCAATACTTCCACCGCTCTACCCTACTTAAGCACTGGACCTTCACAGTGTCTGCTCCAAAGGCCTGTGTGCGTAGTTTTGACGCATGTCCAGCCCTGAACCCTGAACCCCAGGCACAGATCCTGTAGGGCAGCGAGACAAGATGCAACTTCAATTGCTCAAGTAGAAACACTACTGTTGATACTAAAATCCTGCATGACCTTAGTATACAATAGTTCCATTATTCCCAATATATAATGTACTTAGGGTCATGCAGGATTTTAAGTATACACCGAATCATTATACACATTCTGTACATGCCGTGGACATGATACCCATGGAGGCAGAGCATCTTACCCATACCGCCTAGGCTCTGTGAGCCTCTCCTTACTGCTGATACCAAAAAAAAGCTGCATGACCTTAGGTACCCCAAACTCTGGGAGATATGAGTTGTTAGTATACGAAGGTCCTGAAGGATGCGTAACATCAACAGTATGACCCTCATTGCAGCAAGAGGTACTGCATTGTGCCGGCCAGTGAGGCGCAGGCGTACAGCTTTGCATCATGTCGCATGAGAGGACCTTCCTTCGTCGAGGTTCTACTAAACCCTCCCTGGAGATCTTGTTGACTACAAGGAATATTAGCTGTGTACAATACTTCTGGTGAACTAGGATCTCCAGGTAAACTCTAAACCCTCAACCCTAAACGCAAAAGGTCCTCAATGGAGGATGGTGCCAGAGGGAGACACAACTCCTAAACCCCAAACACCCAAACAGGCCTAGGTAACCTTGCGGAGTTGCCTCCCTTAGCAATCTTGAAAGCTTGGTTCGCGGGAGAACCTCTGGAAGGAATGCCTTGGGTTCCTCAGGTTTAGGGTTCAGGGTGTGGGCTTTAGGGGTTCAAAGGCCAGTAGAAACAGAGGCTTACTTACATCTTCAGCATCGTAAAGCGCATCCTGGCCTTGAAGTTGTGTACTTTCAGGAAGTCTGCCAAAGAGTAGAAGTCTTGCGCCCTGCCAGGGATCTACAACCGAGCAGCGTTTTGGGTGGTCGAGTTAAGGGCCCCGTATTCCTCTTGTAACATACCAAAGCCCATAAGGCGGATATACCCTTCCTTTTATTCAGGACCATACTATCCCCTTACTCAACTGAAACAGCAAGTTGGGCCTCCAGTTAAGATGTGGGGCTTGGGTTGAAACTTTCATCTTTAAGGGTTGAGGGTGCAAGCAATGGCGCTTTAGGGTGGCATGGTTTGAAAACATAAAGGCTTTTCGGGTGCAAGATGCTAGTCACGAGTTTCTATACCGCCTTCCTGTGGGGACCGAGCCCCATTGCCTGCTCCTCTTGAGCACTGTTCCTTTTGAAAGGCTAACCTGTGACCCGTAAACTTAGCACTGAGCATATGTCAGGTTGATGGTTCCTTCCTTTTTGGAACCGGATCATGTTAGGGTTTAGGGTCTAGGGCCCCCTTCCCTACACAAAACCTAGCAACCCCCCTCCCCAATGGCTTTGTGCCCAAGGAGTGCTCAAAAGATGACTGTCCTCCAAAATGGAGACTGTTGCCAACTCCAAAATAATTTAAGGGTGGTTCAGTCTCAACCCTAAACCCTAAACCTTGGTATCCGTAAGCCCTAAGCCTTAATGTCCCTAAACCCTGAAGCTTTATATGACATTTCTCATGCCTAAACCTGTTCATATCTCTAGAATCCTGAATCCTTGAACCTCAAAAAGTTGCCGACTGCAGGCAAAGGGTCGCATACAGCAGGCCGATTGCTCTCTTCGTGGCCATCGGTTTTTCTCTGTCATCCACCAGAACCGCCTTGACCTCCAGCTTCTCATTGGTGCTTAAGTTACTGGGTCTTAGTAGGGAACATGGGAACATATTATTCCCCTATCCCCTTCTAAGAAAATAGGTTAAAGGGCATGGGTTTAGGGTTTAGGTTGCCAGAAGAACCGCCCTGATCTCGCTTCTTACTGGTGCTGTGGAGTACAGCCAATGAAGCGTGCAAACAATATGCCACACACATGTCACCAAACTCAGACTGCTAAAATCAAAGTGAAGAGCTCCCGACAACATGAATTTCAAAGGCCTTCTCTGAACAAATGAAACCCAAAACTCATCAGACCTGAACCAGACTAGGATGCTCAAGGAGCTTAGTTATTACTTATAGCTATGCCTGTTTGTTGCCCCCCGTGGCTGCCATGCCCGCGATAACTTCGGTGCATGAAGGGGTATTGCCCAAGTTGGTTATAAGTAGTTACTGAGCCCCGTGATCCTCCACATAACCTTGCACCCACACCTGAGCCGCCCTGCAACCTAGACATTAGGTCGACCCCCACCCTGTAATAGTGACTATAAGGGATAACAAGGCTTATATTAGGGTCCTACTATATTCGTATTATACCACTATTACAGGGTGTGGGGGGCCTCCTAACCTAGTCCGCTTTAGATCCCCAGTAGCCTGGCATTCAAGCTTTTGGCCCCTTTTTAGTGTAATCTCATTTGACAAGGAACTTAGGACCCCAAACAGGAAAAGGGGCTTACTGCCCCACAACAGCCCGAGAAGTGGAATCAAAATAACACATGAGCCATCGTCTAAACTCCTAGTATCCCCCTTAATATACCCTATAGTAGTCCCCTGTACAATCCCGTATATAAACCCCCTTTAAGGAGTTTAGACTATAGCTCACATGGCGCGCTGTCACGAGCGCATTTCTCGTTTTTTCGTTTAAGTTGTCTCTGGTACAACCCCAAAGGCTACCTGGACTCCCAACATATGTAAAATTAGCCCGAAAGCAGCCAAAATGGCTATTATTCTACATAGTTTTGGGTCCAGGTAATCCGGATGATACGGACGCATCCATCCACCCCAAAAAAAATGTGGAAATCATACCCCTCAAACTCAAAGAGAGCGGGCTAGAGTACAGCTCTGGAAAAACCTTCTAAGGGCTGAACTACCTGCCAACCTGAGTTTGAAGGTTTTTCGAGGCATCCTCAGCCATAAGTACAAGGACACTAGATCCATGCGGGGCTCTTTAGTAGTTTCAGCTTTTTCCATTATCTCCATATAACCCCAATATAACCCTAATATTACCCCAATGGGTGGTTTAGGGTTTAGGGTTTAGGGTTTAGGGACCTAGGGGCTTCCTAGGTTTGGAGTGTCCGCCGACTCAAGCCCACAGCGTATACCCTAAACCGCAAGCCACTTCTGGCCTCAACAAAGGTGGCGGTACCGCCCTGTGACCAGGCATCAGTGTGCTTCCTGGCTTCAGGAAGGTTTTAATCTACACAAAATTTCAAGTTTATACTTGGGAGATGCTCGCTGGCTCTGCTGTATGCAAGAATCCTACTTTCACAGCTGAGTAGCTTCTACCCCGATACTTATTGTAGTGCCCTGGTCAGTACAGGTGATGGACTATCAAGGAAATTTTCCGGAACACCCTAAAGATTCTAGAGGTCATCCTAAGCTGTGCTTTACAATGTTCTAGAGCTTCAAGGCAGTATGATAGAGCGCAACAGCAATAATTGTAAGAACGCACATGTTCAAACACAGTAGTAATACTAATAGAATAGTAGCAACACTAGTCGAATCATGGTAACACCCAGAAGGTAACAGTAGTACTACCAACACCAACAGCAGGAAGAACCAGTAGCAATGACGGAAATGAGGGTAATAAGAATAAGACTAACCAACAATAATGTTGATAATTGCAATAACAGTACTAATAATGTGGCCAAACATTGATGTTTGCAATGAACACCTTCCTTACTGCAATGTGACACCTGCAATTCCTGCCCCTTGAACCCTACAAAGCCCCCAAGCAAACCTCTGACGCGTGTTTGCCTTTCGTGTTGGCAAAACAGGCGTCCATAAGATCCCGCAGGCCAAAGCATTAAACAACATAAGCTCCTAGACACCTTGAGCCCTAAACAGCTTACAACCCTAAACACCCTAAACTTGCCTAAGCCCTAAACACCCTGCAACCCTAAACACCATAAACCCTAAAGACCCAACAGCACTACACCTGAAACATTTTAGACCCCTTAACCTTAGAGACTCTGAACACCCCCAAGCCCTAGACCCTAAACGCCCCAAACTTAAACCTT